CATATAGAATTACATATTGTTTTGTGATCATCACGATGCTTTAATTATGTGCCATTTGTAACAATGAAATTGGGGGTCACCACAACATGAGGAACTGTATGAAAGGGTCGCGGCATCAGGAAGGTTGAGAACCACTGGGCTAGACAATCCTTTGCTGTGGGGGTTGTCCTGTGTGCTGCAGGATTGTAGGGTGCTCCCAGCATCCCTAGCCTCTACCCACTTGATGCCAGTTGCTTCCCAGCCCCAACCAAAAAGATCTCCAGCCAAAAGTCATGGGGGGAGGGGGAGGGAGCAGGAGGGAAGGGGGTGTCCTTAGTTGAAAAATCATTGCTTCAGAGGTATTATTTTATTTAACCCCTGGAGTGCCAGGGAGCGCGATCACGCTCCTCGTCTTTCGCCACAAGTGCCGGAAGCACTATCATAATTTTTTTCCTAAACTGCTGTAAAAATCAGCAAAAAATGCCTTGGCAATTTTAGCACAGTTCCTAGGAGATTGGTTGGCACTCAAAGGGTTAATTCTAACTTTCCCCCAAGAGACACACCACACATTCAAGAGCCATTACCCTGAAGGACCCATCTGGACACACGTACTGCTGAAGCCCTAAAGTCCAATCAGGCAGGTGCTAGTTTTGTGGGTTTGGGTTTTTTTTTTTAAGTGATTGTCAAGCAACGCCTATTTGCAAACTAAGTTTCGAACAAAACAAATCGGAGGCAAAGTCCGATCTTGGCCGAGGGGAGTCACAGGGCACCAGGGCAGAGTTCTTCTGAGGTCGCTGGGACACCCTCTCCTGCCCGCCCCGCCTCTGCGCAAACCACCCCCACGCGGTCTCCCAAACCGCCCCGTGGGAACCACGTCTGAGGTCAAATCACAGCCTTTTGAACAGCCCTGTGTTCTGGCATCAATCACACTCACAAGGAGGTGATTTTGAGTTTCTGGTTTCTTGAAAATGAAGGTTAAGATAAGCAGAGGGCAGCCCGGCCTGGAGTGGCTGACTCAGAGTCTGCCCGCGCACCAAACAGTTCCGGGTTAGATTCCCGGTCAAGGGCAGGTACCTGGGTTGCTGGGGGGGAAAAATATCCTCGGGAGAGGATGAACAAAAACAACAAACAAAAAAGATAATTCTGAGTATTCTTGATTTTTACTCTGTTCCAATCTCCTATTTAGTTTCCTCTAATCCCTCTTCAATTTGACTGCAACTTTTTTTAAAAATATATTTTATTGATTTTTCACAGAGAGGAAGGGAGAGGGATAGAGAGTTAGAAACATCGATGAGAGATCAGCTGCCTCCTGCACACCTCCTACTGGGGATGTGCCCGCAACCAAGGTACATGCCCTTGGCCGGAATCGAACCTGGGACCTTTCAGGCGCAGGCCAACGCCCTATCCACTGAGCCAAACCGTTAGGGCTTGACTGCAACTTTTGATAAGATGATTAAGTGGAGCCAAATGGCCAGTGTTTGACTCAGATTCTACCATTTATTCTACCTTGTGCCTCGGTTTTCTCACCTACTAAATAAGAATGATAATCATACCTCACAGCCTCGTGAGGATTCCTCTAACGAGCACAAATAAAGGACTCACATACCAGGCTCTCGCATAGTAGGCACTTTAATGACAGCTATTATGGAATCTTTCCAAAGCAAATCAACTTTGTTTTCATGGGTTTCTGCTGTTGGTTTGGTATTTATTTGAAATGCAGGAATACAAGCACAATTAGAACCAACAAAGGTGAGAAGTGGCTACAAATGCTTGTTGAGTATACAAAGGAGCTCAGTGGGGTGCAGGGCCACCCACAGGCCTGGAAAGGAAGACTGCTCCCTGACAGTAAATTTGGAGAACTGGTTAGCCCTAAGGAGGTCACTAAGGAACTCTGCTACACTAACCCCATTCAATAAAATCTACATTTTAAAAATCTCTTCCAACGTGTCTGATCCAGTCAGCACTCAATAAAAATGTAAATTACTCTGGTAATTTCCTATAAACTGTTCACCAAGTGCTACTGTCCCTCCAAAAGGAAAGATTGCCGGCATTAG